TGTTGCACCTGTAATTCAGTGGACAGTTAGTTTTGTTTTGTGTCAATGAGTGTGTGACTCGCGAGTGACAGCCCTATCTATGAGCACCGGATATGCATTTCATTGCACAATCAATCGCTGAACTGGTTTTTTGTGGTAAAAAATAAACTAATTATCACTGAATTGTTTGATAAGACAAAGGCTGATGCGATAACGAGACACATGTACAGCGAAACTGATGTATACCAGTGCTCGCAAATCGCAAGACTGCGAGTCCTCCAAAGCAAACAATAAGTTTATGTGAAATAAGTGTAAGGATTAATAGCAAACCATTTGATTCCAGTTTGAGGTGTTTTGTTTGTGTTGCTGTTGCGGGGGTTGTGGTGACCCACCCATACGAAGCTGAAGCTCTTGCATCTGCATCTGCAGAGACCTGTAGTTGTTCTCCATCTCCTTATAACGTCTCTCTTCGATCGACAGTCGTATGTTTTCCCTCTTCAAGAGCCGCACGTAATCGACGGACGCCTTGAGAATCGTCCCCTTATTCTGCTTCATGTCTTTGACGAGATCGAAGTGTTTGGTGTCTTCCGATTTGGGCAAAAGGGTTCCCAACTCTTTGATGCGGTCATTGATGTTATAGCGGCGGCGCCTCTCAATCTGGTTGTGGTTGTCCTTCTTCTGCCGGTCCTTCTGCCAGGCCTTCATCTCCTGGTCCGTGAGCTGCGGACACGACGAGGAGGACATGTCGTGCGTGGGTGTCGTCGGCTGTTGATCCATAAAGTAGTTCATATCGGCCGGTAGTGTGGCGGCGATGGCACCGACCAACTCGTCGTCCATTTGTGTGGTGTCGGTGCGGCTGTCGAAGCCGCCCAACACGTCGAACACGTCGTCCAACTCGCTCGTAGAGCAGGCAGAGCTGGGCGGCGCCGATAGGGGACTGTCGGGACTCAACGGGAACGGCGACTGCGGTCCCGGGCCTAAGGCGCTGGACGACAGCGAATGACCAGTGTTTGCGATGTGGAGCGCGTTGTGGTTGTGGTGATGATCGTGCGGTTGCAGACAGTTGGGCGACAGTTGTGAGGGCACGTTGGGCACCGACTGCGAGTGCAGGGGATGGGGATGTAGTGGCGAGTGTGGGCTGAGCTGTGGGTGCGGCGACTTCTGCTGCTGTTGCGACTGAAGCACGTGATAGTTGGTCGGGTTCTCCAGCGTCTGTCGCATCTGTTGATGATTTTGTTGTACTTTTTGGAACAGTTGGTGAGACGTCATGAGCGCCGGGAACTGTTGAATGTTGAGCGAGTGCTGGGGCTGTAGGGCGCCGGCGTGTGGCGACTGCGGCACCGATTGGGACAACTGGGACAGCCTCTGCTGGTGCTCGGACTCCGGCGGCCCCTGCTTTTCGCGCATCTCCTGTTGGATGAGCTGCTGTTTCATCAGCTGTTGCTTGAGGTTCGTTCGCGACATGTCTTCAGCCGGCGATGAGGTCTCGCAACGATCTGTTGATCCGAGCCTTTAGTACGATCTCTGAGAGACAAAGTGAAAGTGAAAACAAAAACATGAGACGATTAATGAGTTTTTCAGTTTTTATTTCTCTTTTTTCTGGTAATCATTTCTCTCTCTCTCTCTCTCTGAGTCTAACTCTTGTTTATTTTTGTTGATGGCATCGGTGGTAACGATTCATATCGTATGCCATAAGTAATGGCGAAGACATGTTACGGTACCGACAGATACATCGGAAAAGTCAATAAACCTATCATTTATGCAATTCTTTGGCTCTTTTTCGCGAATATATCGCCAAAAACGCGAGCGAAAGGAGACAAAGAGTTCTCGAGAGAGAAAAACAAACAAAATGTGTGTTTAAAAAGTTTTTTGGACTTAAAACGACAAAAACCCTATTATTTCTAATTTCCCACTAATTATTACAAAACACTCTCATTTTGACGTCTAATTATAAATACACAAAGAGTTTGCATGTTTTTTAAACGCGAGTGTATATGTGTACAGCATTTGCATACCATGGCTATGAATATGACTCCTAAATAAATGCCACAATACATACAAATACATGTTTATTACGACTACGAGTGTATCGTATTATAAATATAGTGTATATTTAGAGGTATTTTCCCTTTAATTGTGTCGTTTTCTCTCTCATCCAATACTTGTTTACCATTGAGTTCAAGGATTTTTAGCATTTTTTACACTGAATCTCTCCATTCATTGCAATGCATTCATAACCACACACTTAACAATGAAATGCTTATCACCTTTTTTATATGAAAAGTGTATTTTTAGTAAATATAATGGAAATTAGAGAAACGTTTCATACATACACACATATATTAATATATATATAATTTATATGATATTTAATTAAATGGCAAAACTACTGCTAATCCTTTCAGTGAATAGTGAACTCAAAAAACGAGTTTTCATTTCATTTATCATGCATTCAAACACTAATATAATATATCGGAGTTATATTTATATAAAAATTTATCGATTAAAACATTTTGGTGTGAATGTGGATAAAAAAAAGTAAAAATGCTATACACTTACGTTTAGTATGAAATAAAACACACAAAAATGCACTTTTTATAACTAATGTCCACCATTAACACCGATGTCTATACTGAATGTTCACGATTTGTTTGTAAATATGTTTACAAACGGTATCATATTTCTTGACGTAGAGTATTCCAGATGAATTTTTGGTGGCAAAATTACCAATCAATGTATGTCCCTTTAATTCACCATTCAATGGGCATACTGTATGGTAGGTCACACGAGTGTATGAGACAATGTATTGCGATAAACAAATGTGTTATTTATGTGTTTGCTTCACAAAAACACACATAAAATTAAATCTCAATTTGCGTTATAATTGTTGGCAAAAACAGTGCGTTTTGTTTGTCCCTGAAACTGAACACAACATTTATATATATAAGTTATATGCACTGTATATCTGTTGAGGTTTTTTAAAACACACATATATTTTGTTGTGCTTTTACTATGCACTCGACATACACTTTGGCGATATATATAGCGACTGAATGGCAATCAATGAGTGATAGATTGGCTGCCAATGCAATGGCTCAGACTGGCGATCACAGCACACGAGTAGTCAGTTAATAGGCTTTTGACGCCAAATGTGGTTTAGGTTTAGGTTTAGGTTTGCGATTCACAGCACCGTTTGGGACACGATATGTGTGGCGAGAGGTGTTGGCGACCAGAGCACAGGCATTGCGTTTGACAGTCAGTAGTGGGGGTCGTGTAGAGTACCCACTCTTTCACACCGTATTCTCACTAATAGTTGTCATTAGCGTCGATACGAGTGTTTCAGTAGATGTCTTCCCGCACTGCTATACACACACACACTCACTGTCTTTGTGTTACATTAGTATTGAGACAAATGTATGGCTTATTACAGGAGAGGTTGTGTTTATTTACAGCGTTTTCGCACTCAATATGAGCTTAACTTTGAGCCAAACATACATTCGCTTCAGTCGTGTTCACCACACATACAACACTACGCGTACAGGTGTGCGCCCCCTATAGTGTACAACCACTCGCATGTACGGCACAAGGATTAATATTCAATTATTGGACACAACTTTATAATGAGATTTGCAATTATATGTAACCATAGCTATGGGTCTCGTAAGCGCCGTATATTCACTGCACACATAACATGTCAATACATTGTAATCGCATTTAAACTTACTTTTAACGCAACTCTCATTGCATTGAAT